ACCAATAGTTTCCATTCACATCTATACTGTTCCAGCGTTTTGTCCACCATCCACCGCACCACGACGTTGGTAACTTATAATGGGTTAAATCTGAGTTTGTGCATTGATGCCACATTTTAGAAATCAAAATATTAAACTTTTTCTACAATAATCTAAATAGTAAATTACTACGTGTATTTATTTATTCAATCCTCTATTACTACACAAAAAAGTACAATGTAACTCTTGTCTACTTATCTTTTCTAATTCAAACCATAGTGAACCCATAAGTTTAGGCTGAATAGTTTTGTACCAGATTCCTTTAGTACGCTAGGGAACGCTCATCAAAATATTCTGACCACAAATTTAGACAGTTTTTCCGTAAATCCCCTATATAGTCAGTAAACCAAGGTACATATTCGTAATGACTTCCCTCAGAAATTGCTTCCTTGGCCAGACGGTCAACTTTTTCATTGCCAGCTAGCCCAATATGCGATGGAATCCATTGTAAGATTACATTTTTATTTGAAGTGTTGAGTTCATTTAAATTATTTAAAATCGTAAAGGCAATAGGATGTCCTCTAAAATTCATTGTACACTTTAAAAGGTAAAAAAGAGCACTTTTAGAGTCAGTGTAAACCACAAAATTTTGATAATCAATAGTTTGGATGTACGAAATGGCTTCGGCAATTGCTATAATCTGTATACTTACATGAGGTTATGTTTGTTCAGCCTAATCCCATAAACTACTGTACAGATTTTCATACTCTTTTCACTAGTAATTGGAATTCATATGGACTATGATTTTCGCTCATACAAAAAGGGATTCTCTAGAATGGTTTTAGGCTATGATTTATATTGCGAAAATAAGATATTGGTATGATGATTTTGCTGTTTTAGTACTTTCCCAATTCTCACCGCAGTTACGGCAGTTAAAAAACAATAGTTTATACTTTTTTACTCTACATAATATGTACTTTATTATAGCATAGAGTTGCATGTAGACAATTTATAAACAATTTCTTTTATTAATAAATAATTGTATATATAAGTTTATATTTATAAAATACATTAATACTATTATCTATAGGGAGATAGATTATTTTAACCCATGGGAACTCATCTGATCCATCGATGTTGTGTCTGTGGACGCAAACACAATTTTTTTGAATTCACGTTTAGATCTATGATACTCCATCTATCTACCTTATTCTTTTATACTAAAATAACGACCTAGTTCCAAGAAAAAATTTAGCCTATGTATTACATATATAATAAAAGTTCGCATCAATACCAGCAATTGACATATTATTGATTTTTTTCCCCTAGTAAAATTAATTATCATGTAGGTAGTATAGTATTATATGAGCTGTATATTCAGATATCACCATGCCACATGAAAATTTGTCTAGTGGTTTTCCCGTAATGAGGTCACAGACACACATACCAACAGACATAAATTCTAAAAACTGTAGTATTGGCCTGGCTATTTCAATAATATTTCCCAAAAAATATTTAACGCACAGATCCAGGTTGGTTAGAATATATATATATATATATATATATATATATATATATATATATATATATATATACATAAAACACAGTTCCGAAGCTCTGCTCCAATGTGAAAGAAGAACAAACTAACAAACACCTTTTTGCTTTTATACATAATTTTGTTCGGATAAATCTTAATGAAGGACAATTTTTGATGCTTGTTTATTTATATTTGCATAGGAATATTCAAAATATTACTAAAATTTTGTACAACGACATCTATCGTCGAATTAGTGTACTAATACGTTTAGTACTACTAATAAACTAGGCACATTAGTTCTTCTAGATCACGCTAGATGTCGCAATTAGAAACCACTGTTATTGTCTACTTTAAAATTTAATTTTAGAATGATAATAATTTTAAAAGTAACTGCTTTAGTTAATTTAGTAATAAAGAAAAGATGTAAGTTTATACATGCTCAATGTTTACCAATATAATTTTATTTAACAAAATTTTAAAAAGGGTAAAAAGTAAAACAAGCTATTAAATGTTTAAAAGTATATTTAATACAAAATAGTAAATATATGTAGAGCAAAAAATATATAAATATACATTAAGTAAAAACCTAAAGTTAAAGCATTTAAGTGACTAGACAAAATTAATTTCTACAATACGTAATAACTTAGTGAGATGTATAACATAATATGATTAAATTAATTATGAATTAATATACATTAAGAAAAAATAGACATACATAACTTTAAAAAAAAGATTAAGATATAGATAAAAGTTTATATAAACCATTCCAATAGTTTAAGCGATGATTAGATCCTGGGGTGATACAGTATCTGAAACTAGCTGCAAAAGTTTACGCAGTAACACCAGTTCTTCTCTCTCGGCTTCGTTTTTTGTTTACATTTATCAGTAGCGGGTTTTGGCTTAGGTCCGTGAGGCCCGGGCCTAGGGCGGCAAATTTAGAGGGGCGCCAAAATTTTTAAGACGACTAAAATTAAAAATCAATTGGGTTTTCTGTAAGCTGTGAGACCAAATTTTTATGTTTATTTTCTTGCGCTCTTACAATCTAAACAAAGTACCATTTCAAGGGCAGAATTTCTTTTTTAAAATAATTAATCAGACAAGTACTAAAATCTGAAATATCTAACAAAAAGACTTTTAAAAACTTTTTTCTAATGCAATGCAATCTATTTACGAAATTAGTATTTTTTCATATTTTTCATTCAAAATTTAATTGTAACGTTTTTTTGCTCTGTGTTATAAAATAAAACATTAATTCACTATGATTTATTATACAAGTGTCAGTTGACTGATGATTTTTTTTTCAATTTTTTGTAAAAAAACGGCGCCATATCGACTGGGGCCTAAGGTGCCATCAAACCTAAATCCGCTACTGACTTTTATAAAAAATATAGCGGTTAAGACACTAAAAAGACACAGTTCAGGCATTTATATTATATACCTATTTAGTCACTTAATAATATATATTCTTTATTGCACAAATAAGTTATAGGAAAACAATATACATAGAAAGTGACGTGACAAAGGTGGACTTATCTCTAGTAGTGACCTACATACACTTATATTCATGACTGGTTTAGTCACGAAAATATAAAGAATATTACACAATTGTATTTGTCTTACACTAAAGTCACAAATAGTGACTTACCTACATACTTTTACACTATACTTAAACCGATTTAGTCACTAAATAGGATAATTAAAATAATAAAAACAATAACTTTATCAGTCGAAGATAAATCTGCGACTTGTATTCAGCCCTTTTTAACGTCCCACTGCCGGGCACGGGCTTCCCTTCAGTACGAGAGGGATCAGGCCATAGTCCACCACGCTGGCCAAGTGCGGACTTCACATGTCTTACGAAAACTTGCTAGGTTTTCTCAGACATGCAGGTTTCCTCACGATGTTTTCCTTAACCGTAAAACAAGTGGTAATCATGGTACAAAACTTGCCGACAGAAAATAAACGGCCACCGCCCAATGGATTTTTGAACGGAGTCTCTGTAGAACGCTAGTATCACGTCTAACGTTTAATAATCTCTACAATCTAATACTTACATAGAATAGTCTATAAAATACATAAAACTCAACATTTTCCCACTTCAATACTTGAAGTGCTCATGCATGCTCGATTATCACACTGCAAACTTTTACTGAAAAGTTCGTCATCGATGAGAAGTACATTTTCAGCTACAGTACTTTTAATAAAGACACAGACATCTTTATCAAAACTATAAATAAAAAAGTATAAATAGACCAGTACTAACTAAAAATAAAAAAATAAAATTCTGTTGGATATATTTAAATAAATTATTGCCAGGTCCCCATTATATATTGTTAATATTTTTTTTTGCTAAGAAGTATTTTTTTTTATATTTTACAAGTAAAAAATCGGAGTTATTAAAAAATTATTTTGGACCTTCCCATCACATACATTTAAAATATTTTAAAGTTATACTTCTTTTGGCACGTTTGGAAGAAAATAAAGTAAGTAAATAAGTAAGTAATATAGTGAATTACGTATACAAACAGAGAGTTGTAACATACGGGTTGAAATATTTAGCTATTTTTGTTACCCCAAAGAAGTAACTTCGCTCAATAAGTAAAAAAAATATTGGATTTGTGTATAAATAAAATTGAAAAATGGACGAGAAAATAAAAAAAGTCCCAAAAAATCATACATTAAAAATTATTTTGAATGAATAAACATTGTCAGTAAGAATTAATGCATTATATTATAAACCTAAAAAATATATTTACTTAAACATCTCGACGTTAGTATGTATGTATGTATGTATGTATGTAAATAAATAAATAAATATTATATATATTTATTTATTTAAGACCACCTTTAGCTCCTATTTAATGTAATTTCTAAGTATTTTATATATTAATGTATTAAATAATAATTGGCCGTAATTATAAATAACTGACAATATTCGTTCGGCAAGTTTAGATGAAATTTTTATGGAAAAAATCCTCCATAAAGTCAACTCATAAGGATGAGAAAGAATGCCATCTATCGGAGCAGAAGTGAAAGATGAACGGTGAAATGATATGAAATACAAATACAAAATAAAACTATGTAATACAAAATAAAACTATTGTTAATTGCTGTTAGTTTAAAGGAATAATATTAAATAGTTAATAGTGCAATTTCTAAAGTCCAACCAACATAGATGACTTCCTTTCTTTTGTTTTTTTACCATTCTAGTTCCAATAATGAGATGGCTGGGCATGTATGTAGTATATATAAAATTAAAAGGCTCATTTGTGCAAAAATATATTTTAATGAGAATAAATAGCACTTCTAATAAAGCTTATATTCAGTAAATTTCCTTCCCATTCATTTCAGTTAGTACGTTAGCTTACACTTGAGATTGTTTTAAAAACACTTTAAAATCTAATCTAAATGATGTAATCAGTCTTTGTTAAAATATTAATATAATCGTTTAAATTTTGAAAAATAAATATATTTTTGACTTTCAACTCGACAAAAATATTATATCATCGTACAAATCCTTGTATATAGAGTTAAACCTGTCGTGCCTTTTACAAGATACATCGTTGGTTGTCACGCATATAGGATGCGTTCCATCGTAATTAATACTGTTATACTCTATTCCTAGTCTTTTTACTTCATCTAGTAAAGACGTAAGACACGTACATTGCCAAGGATTTAGGTTGAAGTAAAATTTCTTTAATTTTGCCCCCGAATTTCTCAATTGTAAGCAAAAATTGTCAATTAAATATGTAAATCTGTTATTAGATAAGTTCAAATTCTTAACGGACGTTCCCCTAAAAGCACTAACAGGAACTGTCTCTATTACATTATGGGATAAGTCAATATTTGCTACACTTTTCATATTTAAAAATAGCGTATCTGGTAAATGTGATATTCTGTTTCGTCTTAAAATAATAACTTTTAACTTGTTTAAAGGTTTAAAGACATCATCAGATATATTTTCTATGGCATTAACAGCTAAATCTAATATTTCCAAATTAATTAAATTAAAAAACATGGTTGAATTTTCTAAGCTTCTTATATAGTTTGTTGATAGAATTAAATGTTTTAAAGCTTTAAGATTTCCGGAAGTCACGAATGCTGGTACGTGAGTAAGAAGACATGTGTCTAATTTTAAAATCTCTAACTTTTCTAACGCGTAAAGTAAATTGTTTGGCGCATCAGACATATGATTTCTCGAGAAATCCAAAAAAAATATTTGTCGACTACCATCAAAAATATGCGGATCTATATCTCTACCTTTCAATTGGTTACTTGAAAGGTCTAAATACTTTAATTTCTTAAGTTGATAGAATATACCTAACTTGAGCTCTTGAATTCTATTTTCTTTTAAGTCTAATATTTCTAAGTCAGGCTTTTGTTCAAATAAATCTAGTGGGAGGTCAGTGATAACATTATAAGAAAGATTCAAGAGCGTTACCTGCCTGGCGCCGTCCAGAACACCTAATTTTAAATGTGAAACATAATTTTGGGAGAGATCGATATACATAAGTGATGATAAATTTTGAAATGCTTGTAAATTGATATCATATATCTTGCATCCACGTAGACTTATTCCAACAGTTTTGTTGTTGTCGGAAATCATCCCTGGCTTTAGAACGTAATCCGATGACTCCCCAGAATTAGAGCAAACGACATTAGTTTCGCTATCATTAATTGTTCTGCTTATCGGATTCGTCTCCACTAACAGAAACATTGCTAGTAGTAAATAATATTTACAGCTGTGTAACACTTTTGCCATCTGAAAATAAGAAAAAAATTTATTAAAAAATAATCACTCAGATGACTGCGTTGTCATGATTAACAAAAAAAACATACTGACAATATTAAAAAGTAGACAAAATTAAAATTATTAATATCTCTAAAAATTAATTTAAAAAAAAACGTTTTTTTTTCAGTCGTGTTGCCGATCCTGCCAATTTAAAGGCAATGAAATATTTATGATATTGTGGGTGTAACAAGTGCTTGTATTATTCATATCTTATCATTTCCGACATTATTAAAACATTGTAATAACGTAACATGACTAGTGCATTTATGTGAGTTTCAAATAAATGTTGTAAATATATTCTACATCACCAAAAAAAAGGAAGGGTATTGTTATCGCCTCATTTTTGCCCCCCGAATAACGAAAAAATAATGTCATTCGATTTGATCTTTTCTTGTCCCTCCTTTGTTGGCCTCCGCACCTAAATCCGGCTCTGACTGAAAATGTCTCATTTTGGACGAAACGATAGACCAATTATCAGTTAGACCAAATTTTGGCGTCTCACAAGTATATATCTTCTTATCAAGCACACACTCTACTTTCAGAATATGTAAAGATAAAATCAAATTATATAGCATAATTTTTTTCGTTATTCGAAGACGGAAATGGGGCCTTATCGGTACCCTTCCTTTTCATGGCAATTCATTACCTACATAAAAAATGTTCATTGAATCGTTTAAAAAATTTCGCAATTGTGTAAAAATTCATGAAATTTACAATCTACAATTTTAATGCATGAGAAGATTAGCCTTAAACAAGATTTTGTTATTGCTTATTCTTTCACAATTACACAATGTTAATAAATATACCTATTTTGATGTTATATAATATATTAATGACAAATAAAGTTATTTTCTTTTATGACATGCTATTGTTCATAGTTTAGCATTTCCTTTTACCAAGTCATATTTTATATAAAACTAGCAGAACGCGCGGCTTCGCTCGCCCTAAAACTACAAAAAAATCTCTAAAAAGGTTTCATACAAACTTTCATCCTCTATTTTACCCTCCTTATAGGATGAATTTCGAAAAATTCTAAAACAAGTATTTATTTAATTTTATGGAAGAGCATTAATACCAAGTGTCAAGTAAGTCTGATCATAAATATTTTTTTTATTATATTATAACGTGTTTTACCGTGGGAATTAGATAATCTGCCGCGGTAAAAAGTAGCCTATGCCACTCTTAAGCCCTCCAACTATCTCCACACAAAAAAAATACGCCAATTCGTCACTCCGTTTCGACGTGAAAGAAGGACAAACGAACAAACACACTTTCGCATTTATAATATTATATGGACGTACACTCATGCCTAATTTTGAGTACATAACTTATCAATGAGCTACTTGTACGCGTACTACGAACCACTCCACAAATTGTTCAGCGCCATCTATTATAAAAAAATATAATTACCCCGTAAAAGGAAATCGATATACGAATCGAGTCTCTCATAATAATGGCTGGTCAAGTTTTAGTCTAATTTTGTTAAACAGGCTTAAAATCATAAATAATATCTTAGAATCACAGTACAATCATGGAATAAATTAAAAAACCCTATTACACTATTGTAAACTCACTAAAAGTATAAATACATAAATAATAAATAAAAGTGTAAGGCTTTTTAAAAACTATCAACTATTATGTAAAACCCTAATTCATTAAAACTGTTTTCGGAACGCGGTTTCACCCGTATTTGTTCTTAGAGTTTTAACATAATTTTAAAGACAGACTATTATTTTTCTAGAACGCAGTACCGGCATAAAAGTATATGTGCTCCAGGACATGGTCCGTCTGTTTTTTTACGCAAATATATTCACTTCGGTCACAAACATCCAAACATCATCACAAATTTTAATATCTGTAATATCAATATAAACAAAAAAAAATCATTCACATCACAACACATACCACGTTGTTAGTAAGCGGATGTTCGCTGTCAACTACACACTTCTCACGCAAAATGCAAACTTGTATAATATATATATGTTTAGCGATTTCTCTTTGAAAAACCGCAATTAGTCTGTGGATTTCCAACACGTATAAAAATACCTACCTACGTCCTAAAATTTGCAACATTATGATGCAACAAAGGAAAAAACCACTTGAAACTTTTTTATAATTTATTTTGTCCAAAACTTTGCACTATCACTACATAAAATTAACGCTTATATCTATCTACTAGATTTTTTATTAGTATGTTTTAAATTAGTACAACCGTTTTTCAGATCAACGCCATCTATCGTCTATTAAACTAACAAAAAAAAATCAAGAATAGCCCGAATTATCGCTGATTATTTTTTTTATATGGAATGGAGCCTATAGTATTATTATTTATTTTTCATACACTAATATAGTATTTTTTCAACTGTGTTCCAGATATTAGTCTAAGCAGTGGTATGTATTCTATAACAAAACCCATTGCAAGTATACAGTAGTAGAATATAATTTTGTTTTATGAGCTGTAAGTGGAGCAGAATGTCAAGTGAATCATCATTCTCATCCGGAGTTGTGTTGCAACTACGGTGTGTTTCTTACTAATTAACTCGTGAACTCGTTTAACTTTATAAGTACCTACTAACAATTTAATAGAATATTATAATAAAATATGTTTTTAGTTATCTCTATCTTATAATTAACAAATCTCCATTAAAAATCTATATAAAAATATTTAAAACGTCAACGCAGTGTGTTGTACCACCGACTTTCGTCGCTTCGGGTGCTTCCCTAGGTGCCTTTTGTATTTATGATATTACATACAGGTGGCGCCTTCTTTTGGCAAATTTTATTACTACAGTAGCCTATGTGTTACTCCAGGTTATAATCTATTTATGTACTGTTCATCCAAAGGGTGTGTTCGCATTTGTATGAATAGGTATGAAATAGTTACCTACAAGCAAGTAATATGATGTATGTATGTAGGAAGGACTATTGAATCGACATCCCCTTAAATCTATATATTTGAGGGGTGGACGGGTGGGGTAAAGGAAAAGTGGAAGAAATGAAATATTTTTTTTTAATTTTTAAATATCTCATTTAGAGGTTATTTATTGTTGAGTGTTGTTTACTTCAATTTTGCGTGAAATTTAAAGTTTACATGACACTCGCCGGCCGCTCCCGCGGCACGCTCTCTCGGCTCATGCGTTATTTTAACTGTTCTAACCTAACCAAGATCGGTCGACAACTACCTAATTTCTAACCTAAGTAGACACTAAATGACTTATAAGTTATAACAGTTGATACAAAAATTCACAAAATGGTTGCCAGAGCGTTTGCGAAAATAACTTTAGATTGACACAAAATCAAATTTTCGTTGTTATTGACCCAAAAAAATCTGAAATAATTGTGAAATAGTTTAAACCAAATAAAATATTGAGAATTTTCAAATTAAAATACGCGTACTTATTATTTGCAAAATTAAAACGCATAATTAAAACTCCCTATAATGGCAACACTTCCGTATTGCAAAATCAAAACATATATTTAAAACTCCCTCTAAATAGCAACACTTCTGTCAAAATTACGTCAACAAGAATAAAATAGTGCAGAATTAAGGTTATATTTATCAACTTTGATATTGATATGATATTTTATCCTTGGGCGAAGTCATGGTAAATCACTAGTATAATATATTAATTATATATTTATTACATTCACAACAAACTATAAAACGATTTCAATCAGTCCTTGTAATTTTTCTAAAGCCAGTGGAAACGGAAATACTTTCAAGGACGCGATAACGTAAAATAAAATCAAATACAGTAACTATTTGTGCTTACAATATTTTATTTTACAAAATTTAAACTATACAGTATGTTTAACTTTACATTCATTACTAAAAGTATAAGAGGCACTTATTTGTAACATTTCTTCTATTAAGTCTTATTGAGAGTTAAAATTATCCAATTCATACTACGTTAGTAGCTTGGTTGCCAGTTTTCTAAAAATAACCTACAATAAACACGCTATCGATATTTGAATGAATTGTCAAAAAGTTATATAGGTATTACTTACATTTGTCCAAGAATCACAATAACAAGTGCTCTACAGTTTACACACAATATTATTATATATTTTCTGAATTTATCTCAACGTTATTAATACATTTTCCTTGAAACAACCGGTTCGAGTGAGTTCCAAGTGACTCATGCGATACTCACGTCTGTTGAATGATGATTTTTTAATCTACATTTATAAAATTGTAACGGATTTTAAGATCAGAAGTGCAAAAGAAGTTTTTTTTTCTACAAATCAATTTACTTTGTTAACATGTTAAGATTACTATTCGATACCAAGGTTTTTTTTCATATTAAGGGTATTTTTTATCTCGGAAAGATAAGGGTTCCCCGGGATAAAACATACTACCTATATGTGTTACTATGGTAAACACAGATATTATCTGCGAAATACTTTTTATTTCTCATTACGAACAAGTCTTTTACATGAGAAACATATATAAAGATATAAGAAATTATGACAGTTGATCAGTAGAACTAGGGACATTAGTTACAAAGAATATATTTATATAACCTAGACTTGAAGCTATTGAAAGTTTTTGAATTTTTTATTTCTCTCGGTAAACTATTATAGAGTTTTGCTCCCTCAAAAGTTATAGGTTTCTGTCCAGACTTGGTTCTGGTTATGGGTAGCTCTAAGTGGCTAGCACGCCGAGTAGCATAACTATGTGTTGAACCTTTTTTTACAAAAGATATCTCTGCAGTATGAAATGTTTTATCTATTATTTTACGCATCAGTGTACAGGTAGTGTAGTAGTGCAATTGTTTTATGTTCATTAGCTTAGTTTCTTTGTAAATTTTTTCAGATGATGTTAAGTAAGGGTAATGGAATAGTAGTTTTATTAATTTGTTTTGTGAGACTTGTAACTGAGCTAGTTTAGATTTTGACGCCATACCCCATATTTCAATCAGATATAACAAATGTGGTTTTACAAGGCTATTATAAATCATTAAGCGGACTCGACGCGGTAAACATCGGGCCGTGATTCTAAGAGAACCGATTAATCTGGAAAGTTTGCTTATTATGTGGTCAATATGCGAATTATAAGTTAGATTGGTGTCCAGTATTAAACCTAAATAATTTTCCTCCTTCTTTTCTTCCAACGGAACATTATTGATTGTAAGGGTTGTATGGTTATGAATTTTTTTGTTCCTTGCTTTAAAGATGATATAACAGGTTTTACTTATGTTGATGGTGAGTAAATTGCATTGAAACCACGTGTGAAGTTTGTCAAGATCTTCCTGTGCCTGAGAGATAATATCATTTATTGAGGACCCAAAGTAAAATAAGCATGTATAGTCAGCATAAAGTGTGAGCTCACCGTGTAGGTCTAATTGATGAATGTTGTTGATGTATATTAAAAAGAGCAAGGGTCCTAAGATGGAACCTTGTGGAACTCCATAGTTTATGTGTGTTGGTTTGCTCGTGTGTTCATTTATTTTAACAATTTGCTGCCTATTCGTTAGGTAAGAACGAAACATCTTCAAGGCATTACCAGTGACACCAATGCATTCAAGTTTCTGTAAAAGAATTGGATGGCTAACAGTATCGAATGCTTTCTTAAGGTCGATAAAGACCTAGGACTATGTTTTTTTATCAATATTGGATTTTATTTTAGTTGTTAAGTCTATTGTGGCTGAAAGTGTGTTAGATTTGGGCCTGAATCCGTACTGTCTTTTGAAAATAAAGTTAATTGAATCTAAATAGTTGATTAATCTGGTGTATAATATCTTTTCAAGAATTTTTGATATCACTGGCAACACCGAGATGGGTCGGTAATTACCTGGGTCTGTTTTTGTACCTGCCTTATAAATTGGGCTAACTTTTGCAATTTTTAGTATATCGGGAAAGTTCCCCTCCTGTAGTAGGCTATTAAAAGATAAAGTAAGGCTATTAGTGATCAAATTTTTAATACATTTTATACTTTTAGTATTAATTCCATCAATACCGATACTTGAATTGGAATCTAGTTTATTTATAATGGTGTGAATTTCGTCTGTAGTACATGGTTCAAATGTCGATAATTCATTGTTAATGTTATCTACGCAAGGAAGAATATAAGAGAGATTGTTGTGAAAATTACCCGAAATGCCATTAGCAAGAGTTGTACCTATCGTAGAGAAATACTCATTGAATGTGTCGCATATATACTTAGCGGATAAAAGATATTTGGATATTTCGTTATCCTGCTAATTCCAATACAGAGGTTTCTATATACATAATATATATTAGCATTATTTCAATTCGTCAGTACAAATGCGTCAATTCAGCATTATTCAACATATTTTCTATTTAAAAAAAATATTCACGGAATATAAATGAATAATTAATATTACTTAATATGCGGAAAATACTCTAGAGTCTATAGATTTAAATATGTGTTATATTTAACCAACTTTTGACAAAAATTGTGTAACTTTCCGACTGAATAGCAGAAACAATATTAACGGTAATTCTAAATTAAATTAATCCTGGGAAAACAAAGGTTCCCGTGAAAAAGCAAATATAAAAGAAAGATAAACCGACGTTTAAGAATCTGCCATGGGATAAAATAGATATTAGTGACTCTGTGGCGAAGGGTAAAATTTTAGCAGAGGTAAGCCTTTCTAAAAATATCCAATTTTTATATACGTATTAATGCAAAACAGTGAGCGAGTTACATCACCTAAATGATGACCAGCCTGTCAAGACTGTAACGACTAAGAAGAAGAAGAATACCACTACCGTATGGTACTATTATGGCTAGTGCTAGTGCTGTAAGAACTTTTATGTGACTAGACAGATAGGAAAGCGTATATACTTCAAGTACTTTAAGTAGTATAAGTACAAGTACACTGCCTCCGTGAAGTGATCCGGAGGTCCTACGTTCAAGTCCCGGGTCAGATCAAGCTCAGTTATTGAGTATTGGCTTGATTCCCAATAGAAACTTTCATCCCCATTTTCACCCCCTTTCCTTTCCATGAGATGATTTCCGGGATAAAAAGTATCCTATGTCCTTCCCAGGGTCTCAAAGTATCTTCTTACCAAATTTCATCTAAATCGGTTTAGTAGATCCAAAGATTACCCCCTAAAACGTCACAATCTCACAATCTCACAAACTTTACTTCTTTATAATATCAGTATAGATTTCTGTCCAAAAAATATCAGTAACAGCCCAGAGTTGGGAAGTTGGTGTTTTCACCCGCGTGCCTCAGAGAGCGCGTAAAGTTGTCGGCCATGCACCTTAACTCTCACTGGTCGTGTCGAAGTATCGCCCCACAGTAGTATGAGTTGTGTTCTATAGTAATAATGTCCCCGACCGATTTTGGTCACGGCGGCCAATCTCTAGCCATCTGCGCAGGAGATATTATAGTGCACTATTATAATATTATCCACACAGTGTGGCGAAGAGTCCATACAAGACGTCTTACCTTAAAATTATTTTGCTATAATTTTTCATAAATTTAATTTTTAAATGTATAAATGTTCTTTTCGAAATATATCTAATATATTCAAACGATTTTCTTATATAAATATATATATGTGTTACCCACTCACTGTTCGCCTCCACTCCTCTCTAGTATTTGTCTTTCTCACACATTCATGCAATGGGACGTCTACTGCCGTTCTGACTCGGTCCACCTCACTGCCGATCTACCACGCGCTCTAGTGCCCTCTTCTCTTTTGCACCAGTAAGCGTTCAATGGCCACATTATTGCATCTAGACACGTGACCAAAGTAGGTTATTATTCAAGCCTGAACTATAGAGGAAAAACGCTGTTTGATGCTGAGTTCTTCAATTATTGAGATATTAGTCCTGAATTTGATCAAGAATATTCTCAGCATTCTTCTCCAGCACTACATCTCGAGCGTGTCTATCTTTTTTTTTCGCTCTTTCATAGGGTCCACTACTCCGATGCGTAAAGAAATACGGAGAATATAAGTGTTTTAACTAGGCGAGTCTTAGTAGCATTGGTTATTTTGTGCCTCCTCCATATTTGTTTGCAGCTTGTACATCGTCGATCTAGTTATTGCCATGCGTCATTTGATACGTTTGGTTTAATTTGATCTATGCGTTATACATGCCTGACAAACGCCGGAGCGCAAGTTGTCTAATAGTTGTTCGTCTGTTCTTACTGATGCAGTACCATTCTCCTACAGACAGACGTCTGAGAAGGTAGACAAGGTCTTTTAGTGTGCCCATTTCCAATAGGATCATATCGGATACCTAATTCGAAATTATATTTTTTGTATGTATATTTTAAAGTTGAGACTAAGAAAGTGAAGGAGCGCTGACTTGTATGGAAAATTATTTAATGCAATGGAAATAAAATAACGTTGCAAGACCGCAGACCGCATGAGGATAACTATAAGTACCTATCAGCAAATTTTAAATAACAAACAACTTGAGAGTCAGCGAATTAGAAGTTTTAAAATTACACTAGGTACTTTATAAATTTAAAAGTTTCTATGTGTGTGTATGTTTGTTAAGAGGATTGTGAAGCTGTAAATTTTCATACAAAAATCGATAACGTTTTTCCGCCCATGAACATAGTTTTCATAATAATAATTTTCATAATTTTTGGAAATATTGCAGATATCATGAAAAACTAGATCCGTAAGTTTTTATTTTAAAGAAATATTGCGTACGATAGATGTTATTAGTATCTAAATATCTATATTTTTAACTTAAAAACTTCCTAGAGCTTTTTTTTTTAATTAAACTGAATTATAAAAACAAAAGAACATACAGACCTAGATTAAGGTATACTGAATCTAATGAGACCAAAATTGTCTCATTTCGTCAATGTTTAGGTGGGTAAAAACGTTATCGCCCGAAACAATATTTCAAAAAGGAAATGTAGATACATGCTTCTAAGACTTGCAACTCTCTCTATCGCACCATACGGGTTGGCAAAGCGAGCGGTATGAAACAGATAGTATTTTTTTAAAAACCTACTCGCGACGCGCATCGTCACTTAACAATCATCTTCTTAATCTCAATTCAATTCTTAACGCTGAATCGCCTAAACAGTTATGGAGTACTAAAGTACATGGATAGGTTATGACTTAGGCTACTCATAATAATAAATCATGCCAAAAGGTGGCACTGATTAGATTCTAAAAGCCGCACTTGACTGAAGTCAGGATAAGTTTTAAATACAGAATACTGTTCGTCTGTGTATGATTTAAAGTTAAGTAACAAGTGCAATTTTTAAAGTCAGTAAAAATTTTAAATAAACTAGCAGACCGTAGGCAGTTGTTTTAAAATTTAAAAAAATGTCTGGATCTTAACAACAGCGACATTTATCGTGTGCAAATATAGCTAAGAACCATCTTTGTTGAAAACAATATAAACAAATTGTTAAATAAAACTAAAATGTATAGTGCCCAAAACTAAACTGCTGTAAATGAAATAATAATAATAATAATAATAAAAACTCTTTATTGCACACACAACAGAGGAAGAGATAAAAAAGAACAATACAGTAGTAGGATAATGCACAAGAGGCGGCCTTATCGCTAAAACAGCGATTTTTTCCAGGCAACCTTTAGGTACTGTGCGACCACGTTACGAATAGATCACTACCTTACCTATGACGATATAGCGTGGGTCATAAGTAAGACCTTGACTGTCTTACATTTATTATAAACAATTATACATATACAAAAAACTATCTACGGACGTACACATTTACTCCATGTGTATATCAGTCCACTATATGTACATATATTTGTACTTAAACCTCATAAAAATAAAACCGTGGGAATCAAACCCGTGACTCAATGCTCTACGTCATGTTAAAGTTGTCTTTAAACATTTTTATTTCGTTTCAATATTAAGTTTATTTGCTTGTGACATACTAGTTGTAGGCCGCGGCTCTGTTAGGTTAGTTTCTTCATGAATAAGTTCTCTTATCCTAAAAGTCGTTGCGTAATAAATTAATAGCTTATAAAATATAAAATTCTTCAAGAAACAGAAAAAAAAACAAAAAGGTTTTTTTTAAATCTGGCTACCAGTTCCAGAAATTATACCAGATTCAATGATATGAAAACCAATCTCTTCTATACATATATATAATAAAATTTTATTTGATGTGAATCTGTATAATACATATTTTTTGGTAAATCTTATTGAAATAGTAATTATTATCGATATAGAGACCGAATATATAGTTTTTTGAATTTTTGTCTGTCTGTCTGGGATCGCATCACGAGAAAACCATTGGACAGATTTTGATGTTTGGTATAATGATAGCTGGATATAGGATACATTTTACTGCGGAAAAATATCTCATCTCTGAGAAATCTATACTAAAAGGTGAAACGTAATTTTGTAAAATTAATATAAAATTGCGATGAAACTCAGCGAATTGTTGTTGGCGTATCATGAAGGTTTCTGACATACCAAATAATAAACATCGACGTAGAAAAGCTAGTGCAAAGGCTTTATCGGAATTCGGATAACTTAAAATTTATTATTCTATATGACATATAGAATAATAAATTTTAAGTTATCACATACTAATAAGTAATTTAAATTACATAATATACGTTTTCTGTATAAATTATAATATATGTGTTTGTGTACTATGGTGTATTTTTATGCCTTCACGTTCTATCTCTTGCGGAACAAACAGAATAAACGTAGGGATTCTCAACATTACAGAATTGTATAGGTTTTTTTTAATTATTAGACACAAGTGAATAAAAATAATCATCGGTCAACAGAAATAAAACAACAAACAGTATAAATATCTTTAATGCCAAAAATATATTAGTCACACTATGTATCTTTTGATTCAATCAACTCGTCATTAACTGCATCACTACAACTAGCATGATGGAAATCATAGGTCTGCGACAGTCCAGAATCATAGTTAGAAATGTCCTTAAAACTCATTACAGCTCCCGATTCATCAGAGTTATTCGGTATATTACGGGACACATCTAGCTCACTTCTCAACTGTTGGATCGAATGGATCACTTCACTCTGGAAATTCATATTCAATTTGTACAGCTGTTCTGAATGCTCCTTTTCTTTCCTGACTTCATTTTTCAGATGTGTATCTTTAAATTTCTCAAATTCGGTCATTATCCTCACTTTCGATTCGTAAATATGCTGCACCATAGATACTAAAGTAAACAACTTCTCAATTACCTTATCTTTCACTTCTTTGGAAATATTAGGATCTGATTCAAGGTCCGACTTAGCATCTAAAGCCAAGTCGTTGGCTGATGATGGTAAATTAAGCAGTGACTTTGAACTATTCCCGTTGTTACTTTTAGGCGACGGATTATCACTTTTCGGGGACTTTTCCTTTTCGAATTTCTTCGATGTAAATGCACCGTGTGAAACGACCTCTGTAAATACCCCTGAACTTGGTTTGTTTGACTGATACTCTGCTGACTTCTTATGCGCTTTTTGTAGTAACTCATTGTTCTTTTCTTTCTGCTTATCGTAATTTGTCTTTTGTAAAACTTCTTCATGGACCTTTCCATCTAGCTTGTCATCTTTGTCTTTGCTCTTGAACGGGCTACCTGTCCTTTTACTAAAATTAGTGACGTTCAACTTAGACATGTCTGCTCCTAATAAGGGTCGTTGCTCGAAAGTTGTAGGCCAGTGAACTAATTTTCTATCAATCACATAACTCTGTCCACCCAGCGTGGTGACGATCGAAGAACTAAACGGTTAGGTAGTATTGAATGACTTCGATCTCCATATGAGTGTAGGTTTCGCTCCATAGTTTTGGTCCGTCAGCGCTTCCTAAGTGTGGCAATGAATTTATGATTACGTTTGAGCTCGAAACTCACTTGCGTAGGCTCAAATGCAGTTTGCATTGAATATTGTTGACGTTGGCAGGCTTTTAGTCAAATGTTTAAACAAGAAATAGAACGGCGTATTTGTAAAGAATGATGTAATTGAAAAACCGGTTTTGGCGACGAAAATTAGTTTTTTTATCGTTTCCGAGCGATAGGATGTACGAGTATAAAGTATTGCTTAAATGTCTTATTAATTAATACTTTCTTTCAGGAGTCTTATCCTACAATATAAAATAAAATACGTCACTTAAAATTTTACTAAAATAATAATGTTTCATACTATTCCCTTTAATCTTCTAGATTAGCTTCTGAATCAAAGGGACAAATCACAAAGCACAACAGTTGGTACTACTGTTTATTAAAATAAATAATATCGCAATACATAAAATAAGGAAAGCACACAAGAATATTTTTCATCATCAAGAACTAAGGTTGTGCGTGCACGATCACCACGTAAGATGAATATTTACTATAAACGTGGCATCAGTGAAAATGCAGTGGTAACCCAGTCGTAACGAGCTCTCTTGGGAAGCCAAGTAAAACGGGTTCAAACCCCGGGGCATGCATCGCTGACATTTTCATGTCATTGCGTGCGAATCATTTCCATGATTATCACTTGGACTATTCCCTAATTCCCACTGTAGTAAAGAGAGGCCCGTGCCCAGTATTGGGACGTTAAAAAGACGCTGAATACATACATACGTAGGAATTAACAGAGTACTTACTCATTAAGCCCCTGTCCCACATTATGTAAAAATCTCATAAGTGTACTGTAAATAAGTACATATAAAAATTAACGTCTGTTTGCCTGTTCATAAAGAACATTTCTATAGCATTCATTTAATTTCGATGACTCTGGGGTATATATTCTATGCACGCAAGTGAAGGCTTCTGTCATAGGACTGCAAAAACTGCAAAACGAGATGCTCGAAACGTATTAGATAGTTTGCGATTTATTAGTGTAATACGACAAATACAACCAATTAGATGTTAAATATAATTATATATATTGATTATGTACATGTGACGTTTTATACTTAGATAAAGCCAGGCACTTTGCTAAAATACATTAATTTGTAATGTTTGGCAACCGCCTGACTACCCTGCAAGGGCTATTGTGTATACATTAGGTGAATCACAAGTTGTCCTCTAATTATTTATTTTGGGGTGGTGGGTGACATTTGAAATGTATTTATTTATATTTGAAATGTAAGGTGTCGACTCTACCTTAACCTCATTACTGCATAACGCTACATTATCACTAGTATTATATATTAGCGGCGCGGGCGCAGAGCTACGCCGCATACAAATGTAATCGATAGTTAAGGAATAGTTCCGCCATTGGGGAAAGTGATTGTAAATTGTTTTCAATTATTGAGTTTATGATGAAAAGTACGAACGAAATTTTAATTAATGTAAAGCAGAGAGTTTAGAACAATTTTTTTTTGAAAAGAAATTAATAATCAAGGGCGTCCTTATTCCCATTAATTACTAGCGACTCACTTCGCTTGGGGTTCGTTCCTAGACAAAAACAAATTATGTCACTGGAACCGTAAATTTTTCCGGGATAAAAACTAACCTATGCGCTATTCCAAACTAATCTGTCTCTGTGCCAAATTTCATCCAAATCTGTTCAGCCGTTCTGGCGTGAAAGAGCAACAAACAAACATCCATCCATCAAAAACTTTCACTTTCACAATTATAATATTAAATTAGTATTATAAGATTATTAACCAGTTTTTTAGTGCTATAATCCTATAAAGTGTTTATTTCTCCTTATCCTTTTTATTGTTACATTTACGCCTACCCTGTCTATCCGCTGGCGTTAAAATTATAAAAAATTAAGGATCGTCTAGAAGAATCACTCGTGGTTTAACATTCATTTTGTTTTTATTCTATCAATATGATTAACTACGAAATAAAATAATGCATAATAAAACCTCACCAATGATTAATCATTACTCGGAGTTTCGGCTAGACTTGAAGTACCATTCGTTATAAAGTTATTTTAATGGTAAATGCAAGTTATTTTAATCAAATAGGCTCTGCCGGTATGGAACTATCGGTAGGCGTCTCCGGCTGTTTGATGTGTTGCTAGTTGGTGGTTGGTGTTATAAGTTGGACGTCGATTATTGTCTTTCTGTCTGTGTGTGTGTGTGTGTCCGTCTGCGGCATTGTAGCTCTCAAACGGATGGACCGATTTCGATGCGGGTTTTTTTTATTTGAAAGCCAGTTTCCTTGCGGTGGTTCTTAGATGTGTTTGGTTAATATCGGTCCAGCAGTGTAAGAGTATCATCTCTTTTCCATAACGATATAAGGCATTTTGGCGTATGATTACTCGATTAAGTTTTTTTTACTTTTTAAAGATTGTGCCTCAAAAGTATAAGTATTTTTTGCGGAGGGGGTTTTTTCAAATTTTTATATTTTATCTACTAGACACACAGTAGCAACAGTTTCCAATACAATTTGACATCTTCTTCTTCTTCTTCTCCCTGCCCATTTCCCAAATCACTTGGGGTCGGCGCAGTACATCTTCAGTGTACTGCTGATAGGATTTGGCAAAAGTTTTACGACCGGCCGCCTGCCTGACGTCAACCCTCCTTGGGAATGCTATTGTCTTTCTTTGTCTGAATGGTGTTAAATATTATGCACTTTCGATTTTGTTGTGTTTTAAAACATTTTTTGTACTATTAATTCAATTATTAATGTTATTTTTGGATATATTTTAAAATAAATTTCGATTACACAATAAATTTTGTATTGACATTGTCAAATTTTTTCTTCGAACTTGACATATGTTAAGTAATTGTAATCTTTCAGACTGCTTGTATTTAAATCGGTAAATTAAAAAAAATATTATTCAAACTAGAAAGTCATAAAAAGACGTGATCTATATTTTCTTCACTTAGGAGGAGTAAGGTGACAAACACACTTACAGAAGAATTATATGTGTTAAGATATCGTTCAGTTTTCGGCCCAGTTCAGTATATTTTTACGAAACATTTTCTCGAAATATCATTGTAAATCAATTACAAAATTCACTTTCCTCTTTAAACTGAATTAATATCGTACAAGGGAATAAAAATAGATTAATATAAGTAGTGTGTTTACATCAGAATAAAAATTATTAAATTAATTAATATTTTGTAAATTATGTAAATTTGTATCTAAAGAAATATTAAGAAATCCGAAATATAATTATTTTTATTAATAATTCATGTTTTAATTGAAGCAAAAGCTATCTACAAAGCTGAGAATTATACCTATTAGTTAAAATGATAAGGTAATAATGGATTCATATTAGGATATCAAACCTTCTGTTCAGTCCAGATCATGTATTTAACAATACTCATTGTCGATATTATCTCGTAGAGTGACAAGTTCAATGATAGCAATTTAAACACCATTACGTATGCAAACGGCGCGTTCAATACGTCTGCACCTCCATACCAAGCAGTTCCCCATAAAATGTTTTCGTCCCCTTCCACCGCTCACAAATAAGTATTGAAACGACAAGGACAAAACACCTGGACCATGCCTACGACGAACCAGGGCATAGTGTCACAAACAACAGAAAAGGCGCCCTGAGCTCATACTTCTAAAACGACTACATATCAAACGACGACATTAGAACTTAGGCCTTTTTGGACATGGAACGAATAGGTGGGTCCGAATCAAATAGCTTTCCCTTACACTTCCACTAGTCAAAATCAAAAGATCGTAAGTACGCAATTGAGCGGTACATACCAAGACAATCCGTACCGGAACTGCAAACTACGCGCTGAATTTGAAATAGCTGTATAAAAGCCATTGGGTCCTTGTGGAAACTATCACAATCTCACCAACCGTTCTCCAGTGAACACAAGGAAACAGAAAAGAATAATGGCAGCGAAAGTGTTGTGTATAGCTCTCGCATTATTTGGGGCGACTTTGGCCCAGCCCCCAAAAGAAGGATTCTGGAAGGGAACACCCATGGACGGCATGGTCGAGGAGATGAGATCCGGTTGTATGGAAGGATCTGACCCCACCGCTTGCATCAAGTACAAGGTCATGTCCTTATTAGATAGCATCTTCAAGAAAGACACGTTCCAGGTAATGAAAGTAAATTTCTCCTTCGATTTCACTAAATATAGAAACGACTTACATTTTAAATATATTACAGATCTCTGACGCTGTGGAAGTGACAAAGAACGGTGCAGCTGAATCAACTGCTCGCTCGAACGGTGACTTCATGGACTCTATCGAAAGCTATATCCAAACTCATGACGTTACTTTCCAACTGCCCATCGCTGATACTAAGGTCACTGTCAGCCCTAGGAACCTTGAAAATGATGAGCTGAGCCTGAACATCAAGTTTAACAAGGAAGGCGCCCGCTCTGTTGGTGAAGCTCGCAAGGCAAAACTCAAGAAGATCATCGTCCCCATCCTTGTGTTCGTTCTCCTCAAGGCCATGACCCTCATTCCCTTGGCTATCGGAGTACTCGGTCTGAAGGCCTGGAACGCCCTTCAACTGTCATTCTTCTCTTTCGTCGTATCCGTCGCCCTGGCTATCTTCCAACTTTGCAAGAAGGTGAGTTAGATAATTAAATTAATTGTAATTATTTGTAAAAATGATAATTTAAAAAAATCTTCTTTGCACAAATGTATTTCAAATACATCCAATCTCAAAGCACAATATCACAATACTTAAGTTAGCACCCTATGCCTAAGCACAGTCTGCAGTATTAACTTTATTATGGATCTCACAAGGTCCAACACTAACTAACTTTCAAATTCTACCCACGAGTAACGTTGTAGTTTACCCAGATCGCTGCGGACAACTCGCACCCGCAGATCGCCGCTCATGGACCATGGGATGCTGCATACGCCGCCACCCGTCACAGGAGGGAAGCTGAACCTCAGGAACTAGCGCAGGAACTCGCTTATAACGCGTATCACTAAACAAACTAAGACTCAATGAGGGTTGAAAGCACCAAAACCTCTCTAGTATTAAGCTTCACTGCGACCCACTTCCAGGACTCCGAAACGATAACCGACAACCGTCTGTAAGATTTCCTCGATCTAACAAACGGGTAAAAACCAAATAGGTTTCTCGAAACCATGTATGTAAATAGTGTGGAAATTATTTATATAATTGTGTGAGTGATTGTGATGTGTGATTGTTATTTATTGTTTAAATAAATCATTTTTTAATATATTGTTATTTTATTTTTCTAATTATAATGCAATAAAATTTTGAAAAGTCCCTAATAAATTACCAAATCATAAAATATTTTTTTATATATAATATAATTATATATATTATAATATAATTATATATATATTATTTACATAAAATATTGCCATCATATCCGTTAATTTATTGTTCTTTGTCTTTAAGTATTTTATAAAGTAACCCATTTTTTTTGTGTAATAAATATAAAACTCCTCTATCATTTACGTACATATAGTACCAGAATATTATTAGATAAACTAATTAATATTAGAAAATTGTTTGTAAGAAAAAGAAATTTTAAGTACTAAATTAAAAATCTGTGCACAACTTTTTGCATTACTTTCTCTGTTGGAAAGTTTTTATTAATTCTCTTCACACGTACATATCTGAAACGTTGATAGTATATTTTAATGACGTTCGATCAGGTGGCTTCCTTTGAGTGTACAGTACACCTGAGTGTCAATTACGACCTGGTGTAAAATTTTAGTTTAACCCAAATATACATTTTGCCCATTGTCATTGACGACATAAAATGAGAATTTCATTACACTGCTAAATTAGAACTCTCCTTGACCTTTTGCCAGAACCTACCCAGTGATTGGACTATATTATAAAATGTTAATAATATCAAGAATGTATAGGAACTCAAAAAATTCAATTATAATTGTAAGACAAAATTATTTTTGTTTTCATTTATTACTCAGTATAAACTAATATATAATGCCGAAGAGTTTGTTATAATGTTTGTTTGCTTAATTCCCTTATATCGGAACTAACTATCTTGATTCGAAAAATTCTTTTTTTGATTTAACTAAGAAAAGCCGTCTAATAATACTATCTAGTAATCTACTAACTAAATCTAATTACACCCATAAACGGGCAAAACCACGAGCTAACGTTAGTAAATTAAATGACTGTACCTTTAAAGCAGCTACTGTAACATGCGACGACTAATTTAGTTTATAATACTAGAGTAGGCTAATATGTAAGCTTAACATAAGTTTTATATTAGAGATTATAGACGCGATAGAATGTAGGTTTTGTTGAAATATACATATAATATTCGGAATTTGTTTGTTTGTTTTTTTTGTTATGGTATGGTATATGGTAGCCATATATTAGCATATTAAACACAATGTATTTAGTAGCCTCAATCTATATACAAAGACAAAACAGTTCAGTATATTCAATAAAAGACTATATTTAAACGGTCGTTGCTCCGTAGCTGTCACTAGATAGCCGTATTTACTCGTATATCAAGCTCTACGTGCACAATTTAATATTTTATAGTAGATACAGTATTCATTCTTCTAAACACACTTTTACAAACAAACTTTTTGATAATGTACTTTCAAAAATAATAAAATTATCTTTCTTCTTTTAAGGGTTACGTAGTCAAGAAGCAAAAATAGTAAATCGTTATAATTTCGTATACCAAAATGCAAAAAGGTATAATTTTGACATATCATGTATTGTATGCCATTTTACTGGTATTAAAGAGCTGAGAATTATAGGTTGTATGCATTTAAACGTATGTACTACGTCATAAGGTTATACATAGTTAAAATTAACGAAATAATTAAATAAAAAATTAAATTATGGTAATATTTCGTACATATAACTGAATATTGAAAATTCACTCAGTATAGTACTTAAACGGCCGCAATACTAAACTTATACATATATTTATATAGAACACAAACTTTGTACTGCTGGCGATAAACTGAATCCTTTATACTGACACATACTGAATTATATATACAAAAGAAATGTTCACTTAACAATAACTATACATGTGTATTTTCGATTCTTATTAATAACTTAAGATTTAGTTTAGTTTTGATGCACAACAAAGAGATACACAAACGAAGCAAGTTAACTGAAGTAAAAATAAATCATAATAGCCTAGCATCAATAAAGTGATTAAAGTTCAATGTCATAGATAGTGTCCGTTACAAAGTGCACTGGGTTTCATGTGTTCTCATATTAATAACCTATAATGTGATAAATGCGTTTCTACTGAGGGCCTCATTGGGATTCAGCAGGAGGCTCAGGATGCGCCATAGCCTGTAGCCTGCTGACCCACTGGCCACGCACTAAGGATTGACGTTTGTACCGATCGATTAAATATAAGGGTACTTACGAACGGACCAATCAACAGTATTTTACAGTTTATTTAATCTATGTATGTACAAATAGACAAAGATAAAAAAGTTTATCTTTTCTTCTCCTCTAATTGTCAACCGATTTTCTTTTGTTTTTAGTTTATTAGCCAAATTTTTAACGATCGAATGAGGAGTTTTAGTTTATGGTCGAATTTTGACCACTGATGGCCATGAAAGTCTAGTAAAATGTTTAATAAATCTAAGATAGCATCGACTTGTTTTACTTATGGTAGGTATTTTATTGCGGGAAAATGGTATTATTCGTTTTTTAAAAACGAAAACGGGTAATTTATAATCTAATGACTAGAAATATCTTGTAATTTTTAAAAGACAACTGGTGTATACTACCTAACCTTTATTTTATTAACCCATCAATTAATATAAGTGGAAAGAGTGGATTATAATTAATCTCGAAATACAACATAAAGAGGTTAAATTCCTTGAAAGCTTTATTTAAAAGAAGTTATTAAAATGAAACCAAGCGTTTATTTTATATTTTCTACTTACTCGTGAGCCTATTGATATTGCTAAGGAAAATTAAAACCGTTCTCTGTGAAAGAAGCCTTAGAAAATCCTATACCGCATAAAGTAATATGAACAACAATGACTTTTATTCCAATAGTATAAGGTTGAAATTGATAACATGTTGAAATGTATATTAATAATACTATATATAACACGCGAAGCAAAGTATGCCACTGTATACGAGAGTCATCTAGTGATTTGGCTCTCTCATTACCATGGCTGTCACGGTGTTCAAGTAGACCTGTAAGCGTTACCTAATGTAGAATATGTGCTAAGGAATGTTGGAATTTGAACTAATATCTTTGTATTGTTGTTTAATCGTTGGAATAATATAATTTCTATCCCCAAAGAAAACTCTTCTTATGGCACTTTTACACACAACGAGCTATTTCAACATGACAAATATTTACATATTATAGGTATAATTAATGTAATTAATTTTAAAAAACACTCCTTTCATTTTTTTAAGTCATATCTTGGATAGATAGATTTATTTTCCTTTCTCTATTAATAACTTTTATTACAGAGATTGGAAAACAAGTAAGAACGAAGAAAACGTCAAATAAACGTTGAATCAACATAATATGAAATAATATTTTCATTTAATTGAGTATATTAAATCCAATAAAAAAAAATATAGAACATATAGGACCTGTCTCAAGTAACATATAGGGGACGTAATTTTCATTTCAAACTCCACCAAAAAGCTTCAGGTATCTTATCAAAATGAACGGATTTTGATGAAATTTAGTTTAATACAGTAGGTATTTAGTTATATAAATACTTACAAAAGACACCTAGGCTGCGTATCTGAGTGAAGGGAGGGTAAGTCTATACTCTATATTAATATTTTAAGGGGGCAGGGTTTGTTTGTTTGTTTGAACACGCTAATCTTAGAATTTCTAATCCGATTTGGAAAATTCTTTTTGCATTAGATGGCCCGTGTAATGAGGAAGGCTATTATAGGTCATATATCATACCGTTAAAATATACCTAGGGACGAACCAGAGCGAAACTAGGGTGAGTCGCTAGTGTCACTACAATGTAGGAATTAGTTCATAAACACTTGATCGTAGCTAAACGGAAGTGAAACAGTAATTTCACAATCCGGACATGGCACGGGCTCATGCAAATGATGGCGCGGAACGCATACGAAGTGATCAACCCTTATTGCATAACAAGCACACGAGCTTTTTATTAAGCGACAAGTTTCACTTTCCTAGAAAAATACTCTAGTTTATATAATGTTTGTTTGTTTTTGTAAAAGTGCGGATTTGAGATCTAAAAATAATTATTTTTTTTCCATTATTGTTTTTTTTAATATCATCTATATATAAAAAGGCATAGACAAAACAGTTCAGTACCTTTAGACGACACGTTTGGCTCAGTTTGTAGTTTGTACTTTCTGTGCCAGCGGTCGCCCCGCCCGGTTCGAGTCCCGCTGGGGCATTCATTTGTGTGATGAGCATGAATGTTTGTACTTCAGTCATGGGTGTTTATATTTATAATATGTATGTATTTAAAGTTATATATGTGTAGTTTATCAACTATTTGGTATTCAGAACACATGCCTCGTAGCTGACCATGGAACTAGATGAAGCTGTGTGCTAATGTCCCAACATATTTATTTTATTTATTTTTTTCTCCGTTTAATTTTAATATTTTTTTGATTTGGTTTTTATTGTTTAGTAAAAAAAATTTATCAACACTTTGTTTTTTTATATAGATATGTTAATGCTATTCAGGTATGGTTTTCCAAATTTTCAATAATTTTTATGGTCGACTCTCGACTCCCGGGCAAACACTAGTAACTATTTTGTTTCATATTATGTAAAGTCTTAATATCATAAGAGTTTTCTTAAGCAAAGCCCATAATTGCAAAAAACAGCAGGACAACATATTAAAAAAAACTACATATGTATGACATAGTCGAAGAATTTCCATGTGCCAATATAATCGCAGTTATTTATTGAATAACTAGCATTGATTGCGGCTTCGCCCGCGTTCAGATGACTAAAAACTAAATTCTTAGGTCTTACATATTAGTATATTTTCCCGCGGTAAAAAGTATCCTATATGTTGACCCGGATAACCAGCTATCACCATACCAAATTTCATCAAAATCCCTCCAGTGATTTTTCTGTGATGCGGTAACAGACAGACAGACAGACAGATAGACAGACAGACAGACAGACAAAAATTCTAAAAACTATAGATTCGGCCTCTGTATCGATTATAATGTCTATATCAATAAGATTTTCCAAAAAATGTCTAATGTACAGACTCGGCTTAGTTACAATTTTATTATATGTATAGATTAACGCAAAGATACTGGAAACTGTTAGCTTTGATCCGCTCAGTGGTGCTATTCCGTAAGAATTCTAATATATCTCCATAGCTGAATTAGCTGACATACTTCATACAGTTGTATAAAGTATAATCACAAAATCAACTCTCCCGTTATATAAAAGATTATACAAAATGAGAGGCGGTGAGCGCCTAAAAATTGATAAAAAACATAAATTACCTATGATGACTAACTATCGTACATAAAGTGTCATTTTTTTAATTACATTTTAGTAATACAAAAATGTATATAGGCATTATTACACTGTAGTCTCAATAAAGAAATAAAAAATAACTCAAATAAATTAGATCAAATAAATATCAAGCACTTGGACGAACGAGCTTCACTCGGCCTTATGGAGTCTTGTTTGTTTGGAAAAGATGTAAAAATTGCGTTTTTTTTTTAGAAAAAAGACCTATATAGATAAACTTAAAAAGCAAAACCTTGTCTAAATACAAAATTTGATCCAATTCGTTAGAGTCGTTTCCGAGATTCATGAAATAAATTCATACATAGGTACTTACAAGAATTGCTCGTTTAAATTTAATTTATTAATCCAAATGAAAAATTAATAAAATAAAAAATAGATCTTAAAATATCTATTCTTATTTTAAAAAGCCCTTTATATGAATAAAATTAAAAGAACGGGTTTCAAAATGAAATTCCAATCACTGAAAAATTTACTGTTAGGTAATATACTGTGTGTATTTTATTCTAGTCACATGCGATTATATTTATCAATGTGTTTTGTTCATATCAATGTGATCCATTTATTTATAAATGTGTTTTGTTTTTGCATTTTTACCATGTTTTAGATATTTTGGTGCAAGCAATTTCATAGAAAATTATAGTTAGTGTATATAGCTTTTAGACAAGTACCATCATCGTCTATTTAAACTTTCGTCATTAGTCCTATGTAATTTCCGGTATAACTAATAAAATAAAAAAAATATATTTTTAAACTAGCGAAACACAAAAACAAATCTATCCCTCGGGAACCATATATTTTTCCGGGATAAAAAATATTCTATGTATTATTCCAGACTATATTCTATCTTTGTGCTAAATTTCATCCAGATCCGTTCAGCCGTTCTGTCGTGAAAGGATAACAAACATCCATACATACTGACAAATCACAAAATGCAACTTCAAACATATTTATCTTGAAATCCTTTCAGTATGGGGCATAAGGGTTGGCAAAAATTTTACTTTCACAGTCCTATTTTTTAAGTAACTTATATCATAAGACTCCTTTGGCAGATACTACTATGTTCATAAATTATACTCTTTTCTTCGTTTTTATATTTTATTTTTAATCAAAGCTTTATTTAGCTTTTATCCTTTTTCAATAACTTATGTGAAAAGTTCACATCAACTTTATTATTCTAATAAATTATTACCTTATTGACATTAACCTTACTATTCAGACGCATTGCGGTAATTTTGTCGAAGTTATTTATTGGATAATCTGGAAGTCCTTTAAATCATAACAAAAATAGATTTCGAAAATCATTTCTTCTAACAAAGTAGATAATATAATATGCCCAAACCAAAATATTTGACTTATCATAGTAGATATACTCATCAACATCAACAATCCTAACTTTATCACAAAAAGTATATCCTAAGGTATTGTTAGATTCGTCTCATTAGTCCAAGTGTTCTTAGATAGGTGACATAAAAAATGGGGGCTGCTAGATTCCATAATGTGAAAAAGAAAAAAGGAAAGTCGACGAACTATGTCAAGTTTATATATATAATCGTTGAATAGGTATTTAAAAATCATTGTTATGTTTCTTTCATCATTTTTCATTTTAAATAACAGTTTAGGATATATAATGATTTAATATTGGTCAACAACTAATTTTCCTACTTAAAAAAGCTGTAAATAAATAAATATATAATAAAAATAAAAACCCGACTGCGTAAAAGCTAAATAAAAATCATTAATCATCATTTTTTTCAAAATCAAATATTCAATCAAAATATTTTAGGAAATTTAAATCGAATTAAAAAACGTTATGTGGCTTTAATAATTAAAAATAAAGACTTTTTAAAACAAAGAAAATTTAACTTCGGTAACTTAGTAGATACTGCAATTATTCTCAAATATAAATGTAAATGCAGCTTGTTGTGTGAATGGATTAGATAAAGAGAGAAAAACTCTTGCAAAAAAAACGTATGTGTGTACTTATGTATATACGCACGTAAAAAGTTACATTTTGGCGTAACAGAACAAAAATAGCAAAAGATTTCATTTCGTATGTCACAACTCTCTGTTTGTAAAAGAAATGCAACTAGCTTCATCATGTCGCTATTTGGCTTTCGGTGTGCGCGCGCATCGTAAAAAATTTACTCTCTTAATTTTCTCCGAAAGAAGTACCTATAACTTCAAAAAAGTCCACCATGTAATATGTAACTATGCAATATTACAGTAACTTATCGGAAAACTTCAAAGAAATTGTAACACGTTATTTAACTAAAAACACGTAATTCCAAAATAATGGTTATATAAACGGTTCGCTTTGAATTTAAATGACCAAATAAATTTCTTTACAAACACTGAAATGATTGATTCGTATGTACAGACGGGCGGTGAGAGCTGTCTCCTTCTGCATGACAATGCACTACTATATAACAAATCTTGTTACTTCAAGTGTGCAATATCGACGATATTCCTATTTCTTTTGTCAAAAAACGATAGATAGAAGCAATGTAATGGCGCTATTAGCTAAAATATGTTATGATATTATCAATAAAACTACACTCACTCTCACCACCAGGACTTTCTTAAATGAAATTAAATAGTTTGCCAAGTATGAAAGCGATTCGTATGCCGCTCACGCGTTTGCACCGCGTGCCTTGCCGCCCAAAGGATCACATATAAAAACCAAGCCCATTGAAAAATTAAATCATTATTGTTCCATTAACCGGCCGGGCCGAACGTCTAATTAATCAAATCTAATGACACAGTGAAAATAACGAAAATGAAGTGTGTTTGCCTTCTCCTGGCTTCCGCGGCCCTCGTACACAGTTACGCTATCAAGGACAATGAGATCGAAACATCGCGTTTGAATACTAGTGACGATCTTCTAAATAGTGTGATCAGTGATTGTTTTGAAGCTGAAAACCCAACGGCATGCCTTAAAGTGAAAGTCCTGTCGTTCTTAGACACTAAGCTCGGTGTAACGTCGGAGTCTGCGAGAGCTTTCGATGATAAGAACATTGACAAAGTGATCTTTGACCGTGTTGGAAGAATCCTGAACAGCAATGAAATTAAAGTTCAGTTACCTGAGTTTATCTTCCAAAATGCTGAAATCTCGTACCGCGCTGATAGAGGATTTGATGTAGATTTCCCTGAAACTGACGCCGAAATTGGGGAAGGTAGATGTCTAGTTATATTCGTAATTCTTATAATAAAAAATACGATTTAATTAAATTTCTTTTTAATTTTCAGCCCGCGGCATTTTAAAGAAGAAACTTCTGCTGCCAGTTCTTCTCCTTCTCAAGTTGAAGATGAAGGCTCTTATGCCCATTCTCTTAGCCATCGTCGGTATCAAGGCTATAAAGGCACTCATTCTAAGCAAGCTGGCCATCACTCTTGTCGTTGGATTCCTCGTCTATAATTTAATAATGAAGAAAGGAGGTACCTAAATATATTCTAAAATTTATTTTGGTATAAAATTGCCAATTTTCATTATTTGAACAGCTTTTATTTACTTATTCTTGATGTTTCAGCCATGCCAATGATGATGACTCCTACAGAACCACCAGCACCCCAATACGGTCCACCCGCGTCCCAATACGGACCTCCTTCCACCGCTGCTCCTCAAGATTCCTACAACCCTCAATGGGAACCAGCTAGCTCTGGACCTTATGCTAGGGTCTGGGATCCCTCTCAACTCGCATACAGCAGTTACTACCCTGGTGACTCTAGTGCCTCATCATCAGCAAACCAATCACCGAGCTACTCCAGTGTGGCTTCTATCTCATCATCATCGTCTTCAGCCTCATCACCCACCTATTAAACCTGAATACCTCACGTTGTAAATATGTAACGCCCTCACGAACGAAACGGATAGTGTCTAGATAGTTTATTTATTGACTATTTATTTCTTTATTTATAACACAATAAATGGACTGTTGTTTTAATGTTCAATTTAATTTATTTATAATGACAAATAATATTATCCTTTTAATATCACTTAATATACAGATTATATCTAAGCACTCATAAAAATCTTACAAACAAATTTTATTTATAGTAAATATGATAAATATTATGGTAGAAACAAAAAAGCAGCTTTAGAAACCTTGCTCATAAAATATAGATTTAAACTATTGACTTTAAAAGGCCTCAGTGGCGTAGCTGTCCCAATGCGGTCGCATGGGGCCCCTAATTCAAGGGGACCCCAGCGGACCACAAACGATTGTTTTATTTCAGAACATTTTTTTCTCTGACCCTCATAGAAGTTAAAAAAACTGCAAGAAAAAGTATCCTAAATTTCCGCATTTTATTTTTTACGAAGACCACGAGGAATGTGATCGTACCTATGTATACATATAATAAAATTGTAACTAAGCCGAATTTGTACATTAAATATACTCTGGAAAATCTTATTGAAATAAACATTATTATCGATACAGAGGCCTAATCTATAGTTTTTAGAATTTTTGTCCGTCTGTCTGTCTATTACCGCATCACAGGAAAACCACTGGAGGGATTTTGATGAAATTTGGTATGATGATAGCTGGTTATCCGGGTCAACATATAGGATACTTTATACCACGGGAAAATGTCTCATTTCTGAGAAAAAATAAAAAACTGCAATATAAGAGTATACTAATATGTAAAACGTAAGAATCTGGTTTTTGGCCATCTGAACGCGGGCGGACCCGCGGGCAATGCTACTGTTATATAAAACTATGAGTGGTCCTCTAAGATCAGCTTTTTTACTAAATTTTACTCTAACCGTTTTTCCGTGAGAGGGTTTGAAAAAAGTGAGGAATTCGAAAAACTGTCTTTGTCTACGGAAAGTGGACCACATTCGTTTCGAAAATAGGCAAATGGAGGGACTTTCATTTTTTTCGAGTTGGGGCCCAAAAAGGCTAGTTACGCCACAGAAAGGCCTCTTTGGCCATACCTGTAGCTTGATTTTTTTTAAACAAGGAACGTACTTAACTAAGTACAATTCCACTTAGGAAATACAAAACATATTATAGGTAACTTATAGAGTACCTCCAAATATTAAGTACACTATTTGTGTTAGATTGGCATCCTTAATAAAAATAAAATGTGAATAAGTATAACTTATTACTCGGGTTAACATTTAGGATACCTTTTACTACAGGAAAATCTTTCATTCCCACGGGTCCTTCAAACAATAAAAATCCATTATTACACAAAAACTATTAGCAGCAGGCTGTAGGGATAAAAATTGACATTAAATGCGCAAGCGATCCTGCGACGCCCCATTAAGCCGGGCGAAGGTTTTGTTAGGTTTTAGTAGGTAGTACTGGCTTTGCGGGTGAGTCCCACACCTCGTGCATAAATGCATTTCCCAACTTAAAAAAAAGGGTTAAAAATTAACATAATATGTAACAATTTAGTGCGATGTGTTCTCTCATTTTCATGGAAAATTTTTAAATTTAGTTCGGGCACATACATAATATGTAGATATAAATAAAAACCGGCCTGCCTCTGCCTGATTCTCCGCTTATTTCTTCTAAGCCACGCAACGGATTTTGATATATTTTCAACCGACTTCCTTAAAAAGGAGGAGGTTCTCAATTCAGCTGTATGTTTTTTTTATGTTTGTTCTCAGAACTCCGTCATTTATGAACTCCGTCATTTATGACACATTTTTTGTTTTGTTTGAAAGTGTATACTTCCAGATTGATCCCATTTAAAGTTCAAAAAAAATACCACCGCTAAGGGTAGAAAAATAGCTAATAATGAATTTAACCTACTTTTCATACTTTCTTAGATTTACGCGAATGTTTGACATTATTAAATAAAACTATCTTTTCGGATTATTTCGCGGATTTATTTTGATTTTTGGTTCCCGACGTTTCGAATGCTTTACAGCATCCATGGTCACGGGAGAGACTGAGGTGTTACATGTCTTGAAGGTATAGTTGTTACAGACAGCCTACCCACAATTAACAAAATGAAAATTGCACCAGTTACAATACAATATTTTAACTTTAAACATTTTTATAATTTTAATTATAATTGAATATGGAAAATTATTTATTTAATTGTTGCTATTATTTTTATAATTATTACAATTTTAAAAATATTAATTAGTAATCTGTATTTAGTTTTGCCATTATTATATTTATAACCATAAAGAAAAATATAAAATATATTATTAATTATTTAAGCCATATAATTGTTCTATGTGTAATTTAAAAAGTTAAAATTAATTAAGGATAATAATTTTAATTTAGTTTGCTATTATTTAAAAACAACTTACTAAGCAACACTATTAATACATATTAACATAATATATTACTTTTACAAATGAAAAATGAAAAATATTAATCTGTTATCCTGTCATTTTGATCTACGCAGTATGAACTTACTACATCTGCCTGTCTGTTATGTTGTGGTTTAAGACATTTATTTCTCAAAAGAATTAAAAAATTCACTTACAGAGAAATGTTTATATTTATTATTTGATTTTATTATATTAATAACTGGATCCCATGACGATGGTAGTACCCAGCCATCTTCCCTATTGAAATTTGGATGTTTTTTAATTTCTATGGCTTCTCGAATCATTTTAGGGCGATATCGGTTTTCTATCGCCAGGATTTTCTTCAAGACATGTAACACCTCAGTCTCTCCCGTGACCATGGATGCTGTAAAGCATTCGAAACGTCGGGAACTAAAAATCAAAATAAATCCGCGAAATAATCCGAAAAGATAGTTTTATTTAATAACTACTTTTAATTGTCATATTGACTTGAAACTTTGTGTTTCTATTTCCGTTGATAGTACAGTGGTTCGGTATTGTTGACCTGATCTGATGGTAAGGCCAGAAGGTTGATAGGTGGAACTCTTCAACAGCTAATAGTAGATACTTATAGATAGAAAAAGAGAAAAATAAAAACTTTTTAACAGAAAAATAAAAACAGACTTCAAACAAAACCACTAAAAAGTAAAAAATAACTGATTGGTAATTTTCATGTACTATACATACCTAATCAAATAAATTCGAAGTCGGTGCCAACCGATACAAAGCAAAGCACACAGCATATATATATTACTAGAGAGTGACACTTACCCTCGCTTCACTCGTATGCCTTTCTAGGTACGTTTTAATTCTTTTGAGCGGAACCTTAATTCTTTTTTAAAAATGAAGGTAACCTAAGTTACTCCTTTTAACATCAGATATCTGCCAGAAAGTCCCGTCAAAGTCATATTAGCCGTTTCGGAAATTAGCCGGAACAAACAGACAGACACACAAAAAATTTAAAAATTGTGTTTTTCTTATAAAGCTTATTTTTGGACATTACAAACAGATACTTCAATTTTATTTATCTTGCTTATATCTGTATACATAAGGGACGACGCACCCGAGCGATACGAGGGTCGCTACTCACCCATGATCAATAAAGAAGTCAGAAATATATATTAATATAACAAATAAAACTCAAAATTTTCCAATAAGTATTTGTATTTTTACATTTTTACTTTATCAATAATACAGTAGAATCAGAAGAACAGCAAAAGAGTATCATCATATAGTGTTACAAACCAGTAGGTACAATGTGGAAAAGTGAAAAAATATTACAACTATCGATTGTACGGTACGGTACGGTTCATTATTGTCACGATGTTTTGTTACTACGACCTATAGAAGTATCAGAAATGTGAAATTTTAGGTAAAAACGGTTTTATAATGTAGTATGAAAGATTACATTTAAAATAAGCGGTCGATCATTGCATTCAACAATGTTATCGATTAAAAAAGTACTAGAACAGAAAAAAAACGTGTGTGTACTTATGTACGCACGTAAGAAGTTATACTTCTTTGGCGTAACAAAACAAAAATAGTTAAAGATTTCATCCGTTAGTCACAACTCTCTGTTTGTAAAAGGAATGCGGCTAACTTCATCATGTCCCTTTTAGTTAACTTCAACATGTCGCTTTTTGATTGTCGGTGTGCGCGCGCATCGTAAAAATATTACTCTCATATTTTTTTTCAAACGTGCCAAAAGAAGTATAACTTCAAAAAAAATGCAAATAAAACCATGACATGGGTACATGGCTTTTTATAAAATATTAAAAAATAAATATAAATATACTAGATCAAGATGAAAGGGTCGGTTGGTTTAAAAGGACAACGAGTGATGAGTACTTAAATAAGCCTAGAATAAATAAGAGAAAATTGTATTTTTACATCGAACTATAGACGAACTTAATAGTATGAAAAGGAAACGCTGATCGTACAATTAGTCATAAAAAGCTCTCTATTTTTTTATCATAGTCCGAAGTTCATTTTGTTTATTTAAATTATTTATTTTATAAATACATTTATAAAATTACAAATAATTATAATAAAAGAATGATTTTGCCAGGAAATGTTACATGATTATTTGTGACTATTAGGCTCGGTCCAGACTATATGTAATGTCGATTGGTTCGTTCTCGGTCCGATATCGGTCTGAGGAAAATACATGTATACAAGAAACGTTACTACTGGGATTTAACCGGAACTTAAATCTTACTGATAATGTGAATGCTCATTGTTTCTATTACAAAATATCTTTACTAGATCAATATCGGACCGAGAACGAACCGTGATGGGCACTATAGTGTGGATCTGGCCTTATGCTCCCTTTGGTCACTTCTCGCTTATAAACACTCATCAGAATTATAGTGACCTTTGCAATGTAAAGATCAAGAGTTTCAATAGTACCCTAATATTAAGTGTAATAAATGAGTAATTATTTATCGATTTTATATAAAAACCTACAATTTTTAATCTTTATTCGAATAAATGTAATTCGATTT